CAGTGGGGCGATCACCATGAGAACTGCTGCATGTGCGTTGAGTGAAAAACTTTAACCTCCAGACCCAGAAGATTCTGTGTGATTTGAGGATACATCAACAAGATCCTGATCTACTTGAACAAGGAGATGGATGCTGTTTGGAACCTGAACACCATTGTCGACCGTAAGCGCTGGGGTGTGGGTGGCTTATCTGAAGCAAATGAGCGCAAGTCTCCATGGCATGACGTTGTAAAGACAGAAAGGCACATCGCTCGCCAGTTGAGTAGAGCTTAGGGCTGACCTTCTACCCGCCTTGTGAACGAAGCATTGACAGAAGACTCAACCTCTGACACACTGAGCTGGGGACTGACCAATTTGAAGAGGAGCATTGAAAAGGCTGCTTGTGGCGCCATCGAGTCATCCGAATAAGAGATGCCATGGAAAGGCACCTGGAAAACTGAGGAGAACCATCGAATGATATCTAAAGATTATATAAATGCTCCGACTCCAACTGTTTGTTCGATTTTCTATGATTTTCTTTTAACTTGGCTGGCCTGGCGGGGCCACTAGAACGCAATGGCATGAGTGTCTTCTTCCTCCATTAAGAGTCTATGCATTTAAGGAAACCTTTATATATATATATACACACAATCACACACACACACATATTAAACCTCCAACTGCTTCTCTTTGACTCATTCTGCCTGCTTCGATCCGTCCTTTCTTGATCCTCCATCTGAGGCAACACCATCACCTCTTCGCCCTATGGTCCTCATGGCGAGCACCCTGAGCGCTGGCGTGCCAATGGCACCTTCCCCTTCCCGGAGAAGGCGCCCAGTCACTTGGTGCCCAGATGGCCGGGGCGTTCGCTCCGGAGGGGGGTCGACGGAGGGCGAGACGCGAAGGGCACGGGAGAGGGATGGCAGGTGACATACGGATGGGGGCACGAGGTCAGTGAAACGAAGCGAAGAGCGGAGGCACGGCTGGAGCCTAGTGAAATCTAGTTTGATCATCAACAGTCAAATTAGATACATGAGTTACATGAGGCGTGTGATGGGGCGTGCTATGTATGGTATGCAAAGAACAAATTGTTGCTAGCCCCATCCCTTTGCAGTTGTAGATGACCATTCACGTATGCGAACTCTCAAGTTGTGCCATCCGACCTTTGAAGCTTCTCTCCCACGTCTGGCAGAGTGAGGACCAGTGGGGCTGCTAGAAGTACCAGTTGGGACCATTGAAATCATGGAAAGCGGCGAAACCAGGGCAGTTTTTGCGATGTTTTATGGCATTTTCATGGAATGGTCCCGATCATTCATGTGGTGGATCCTTTTCCATTTTTGAGGGGTGATAGTGGTCTCTGACTCCTCAGTTGCCAACGTGGGCAGCAGCAGCAATCTATCAGCTTAGCAAACCATCCTAGTGCACGCAGCCACTCATCTCTACGTTTCCAATAAAAGAGGGGCCGCTGGTCCACCTGCGCATCCGGCCATTCCTTTGGTTTGTGCATGGATTTCTACCGGATGAATGCCGTCCTGACCGGGTGGCGGTTTTAACGTTTTGATCCCAAACATGCGGCCGCCTTTTTCCACTGTTTCGGGCCGAGGGACGCATGATGCCTGAAACAGGCAAATTTACAACTCACGAACTTTGATGGACATTTGGTGTGTCAACTATCTTTCAGTTGGGCTTGGTCCCAAGACTTATACTTGAGAAACTCCGTTTCTGGTTTAGAAGGTCAACTGCTTAGTCAGTGTAGACGTGCCAGTCTCTGGATGGGGAAGGAGTGATCGATGTCCAGCATTAGCAAGTCTGCATCAACATACGCAGTTTGCACCACACATCACAGTCTGCCTCCACCGCGATCCCTCGCAGTCAATGGCCTTGAAAAAAACGGTCGAGGGATCCTTTGGTGTGAAGGCTTTTCGTTCGGAATTGGGACTTGCACAGTGAACGGTGCGGACGGGATTCGCAAGCTGGGTCACGCGGTCTTGCGCTGGTTTTGCGAACGGAATCATTGGGTCTGGTCTGAACGACTTCCTCGTGGACCAAAGGCGACGCCCGCCTCGCGCAGAAGCGTAGCGACTGAGGCAACCCAGTGCTGGATCTGAACAACACCCTGACCATGCACCTGAAGGCTGAGGATCGCAAGTATGACAACAAATATGCGCAGCAGCTGCAGGCCGATTATCAGTCTTTGACACTTGGAGATTCGTTGTGAAAAACTGCCTCAGAACCTCCCACCCCCAGCTGCCGAATGGGGCGACGGCCCCAAAAAGCCAGCCTCTTTGAACAGGCCACTTTGGGCACCTGATGCATTAGGAGTTTACCGGGTTGTACCACATGCAACTGTTTGTTGAAAATGGTCCAGCAAACTCTGCTTTGCATTACTATGCCATCATCACTCACGTGCTGCACATTTTGCTCAGGGGCATTTGAGCAAAGATCATTTGAAGATCATTTGGAGGCTCTACATTTTGCTCAAGAATGGGACTCATCTCATTAAGGTCATTAGAACAATCTGAGGATCGACAACATCAATGACGCCAGCAAGAAGTGCAATGACCTTCGTGCTCGTCTTTTCAAGATGGACTACTATGCGGACAAGTTCGATGCCCTCCCCAGTGGAGTATGGAACAAGATCGATGCCCAAGCATGAGCAGCATTGGTCCTTAGGTTTGCAGCATGTCACCTTGAAACTTTTGAGAGTATCTTGGCTTGAAGGTATTTAGATGCTTGTCGAAAGTTGTGGAAGTATCTATATTTCTTGCAGTCTTCGCGGGATCTTGAGGTACGACCTTTTGCTGGGAGCCAAGAAGGAACTGAGAGTGGATCTGACTTTAGCAAGCCAGGTAGGGCTGCTCCCATGCATCATGAAACTGTGTATGGGCCGTGCACAACAGTGAACTGCTTTGTCAAAAGGGCGCCAGGCCTGCTGCTCCGTTGTTGCTCTTCTGGGTGCCTTTGTCAGTTGTCTTTGGACTCGCGATTTCAATCAGAAGAATTTGCTGAAATCTCCTCATTCCACCCTGCACCCTGAAGATCCTAGTGAGACAATAGGGGAGGCGTGTGCTTTATGATCCTCACCTGGATGCAGGGCCTTGCGAGGGACCTCTGCACTCATGGTCAGCGCCCTGGACGGTTCTTCACGTCAGACAAAACAACACTTCCGGCATGTGATACTGTCCTCAGCAGCGATGTGCTTCAAACAAGGCACAGTTTTGCTCCAGTTTCGCAAGCAGCCTAGCTTACAAGTCCCTTCAAGAGACCTCTTCACCAAGGGGTCCAACACTCAGACCTGTAGAGTTGGGCGCAGAGACCTAGAGACCAAACACCCCGGTGGTACCGATGTGTTCTGGAGTTCGACCAGGTCGAGTGGCTTTGGCACCTCTGCATCACTGGACATGGCCGCCATGGCCTCATGGACCGTGAGGGGGGTGCAGATCGGGCACGAGGAGGAAAGAACACCAAAACCAAGCTTTCCAATGCAACCATGGTGTTTTGGAAGACCTGTCCTCTATCATCCTCAGGAAACATCCCCTATCCATTGGAGTAATTACTTTCTGTTTTGGGGAGACTCCGAAAAGAGTTTCAGTCGATTGGTGCTCTTCCTAGGGGTCTGGATATGGTCTGGCTGGGGGGGGTCTCCCTACCGTAGTTCAATCCCAATCTTTTCCGACCTTCCAGATGTTTCAAGGGGAATTGGAGATCAGCCACTCCACCGGATGCACGCGAAAATCATGTCTGCACGTGCATTCCATGACATTTTCTGTGGAACTTCACTGAGTGCAGAACTCCTCGAATTCAGGACTGACACCAACGACCATTCGGATTCTTCAGCACTCTGTGCTGTATGGAATGTGGAGTGCTGCCGCGTTCCTTGTCTGGTCACCATGTCCGTTTCCTTTGAGAGGGTCGAACTTCTCCCACCAAACCATGGGAGGTTGACGTCCCTCATCCTACCCAGTCAGTGGATAACCTTTACCCCACTAAACAAGACTAGGTGGAAACAGGTTAACCTTTTCTCTGAGGGAAAACTGAGGGGGTCAGTCATAAAGGGATCTATTCATTTTCAAGGATCAACCAGGATCCCCCTGTTTTGAGCCACTGCCAACTGGTCCGGGCATGTTGGACCACATTTGACGAGTCTAGAGTCTAGACCTCCAACATAGTGGTTGGAGATAAGGGACCCCAACAAGAGAAGCAAATGGAGTAGTTGACATCCCATTCCCAGAAACCGATGTTCAGTCACCTCCAAGCTGCCAAGCTTCGCAGCGGTTCTCACCCGCGAGGCGTCCATGCCGCGTGCCGCAGTCCCCGGCCCGGGACGCTCCGCGGCGCTGCGGACCTTTTGGCGGCAGGTGGGACCGACTTGGTGGAGGGGGAGATAGGAGGCTGTAGGTCAAAGCACAGTACCTTATACAAACCATCGAAGGTCGACTTAAATAAAGGAATCTGATGGAATTGGTTCAATGGCGGCCAAGCAAGGTCCCGGTTTTGACCTATAGCCATATAGGTTGATAGGCCATGTGGATTTTCAGGGCTCCCCTCTAGGATCTTCTAGCGGAAGCCGATGACATGTGACAGTGACACACGGGTCCTGCCCCACCCAGAAACTTGACAGTGACAGTGACACACGGCAGGACGTCGTGACCTGGTCAACATGGATGTGGCTGAAAAGATCCGACTCAGAGACCCACACAACATACATATTCGCCTGCGTTTTGGGTGGCCTGCTATTTGTCAGCCAATATCAATCTTGAATTATACTAGGTTGTAGTGTTTTCGTGATAAGGGAGATAGAACTGACCGAGTTTTCTACAGGTCACCCCCAATCCTGCCCCAGTAGATTGTGATGTATTGTCTGGGTCTGGATCAAAGTTATGAGATGATTCCAGGCCAGGCACTCCCACTGCGAAGTAGGTGTCCGCTTTCCACGCTTTATGAGGTGGCTTTTGCAGATCAGCTAATTCTCAGCAAGGTACGCCAGCCAGGGTGGTGGGTGGAAAGCCTCAAGTGGGGCTGCGGACGAAAATCAAAGCAGAAACGGTTCATTCATGTAATTACCCTTACTCTAATCACTGCCCAAGCCGCTAAGGAAAAAACCGGTCGTGACCTTTTTCTCCTGGTTGGGCGCAAGGAGTTGTTTGGTTGGCTTTTCTCAAGGTCTAAGGTGACCCTGAAATACCATTGGTTTGCGGAACTGACTTGGAAACACTCCCAAAGGCAGGAGCGCGATTCCTTCGGAGGTTGTGATTGGTGGTGGGTTGCAGTGCTTGAAACAGAGAGGCTGTGGAAACCAAACTCCAAACGTAGACGAGCCGAGCTGACAAACTTGCCGCGGAAGCCTATCTCTCCGATTTAAACATCGTTCAGATCTTCCCCAAAAGGCTGCTTGAAGGCTTTTCCGGGAAGTGCGTTCTTGCCATAGAAGAGACGCTACATACGACATACCCAGAGGCGACCTGATTCGCCAGGCTGAGCAACTTGGAGAGGATGAGGCTCCGGTGGGAGGAAGCACCGAGGGGATCCTTCGTGTTCGGACCTTTGGAGCCTACCGTCCAAGACGAGGTCCACTGTTCGGGTCCACTGGTCGAAGACGTCGGAAATCGGGTGTGATGCCTTGCAGGTGAACCACCCAATCCAGATATTGCAGAAGGTCAATCCCCTAGCAGAGGCGCGCCGGCCATCAAATCCGCTTAGCTTGCAAAGCAGCTGGAAGGCACTGAAGGCAGAAGAGCATTGTTTTCACGACCCTGGGACATAGTGGTAGTTTCTTCTAGCAAAAGCATGCCAAATACAACCTTCCCTTGAAGGTTTCCTTTTTAGGTCGTCCCCCATTGTGCTCAGATGATCGTCTCGAACGATCGCAGCATTCAGCCCCTGCCGCCGCCTGGGGACCCAGCCTGCCGTGGGGCACTTATGTGTGCCCGCCCAACGACGCCATCAACTGGACCGCAGATGCTTTATAAATCGGACGCATGCAACAGAAAGCACACAACAGACACACACACACAGACACGCAGGTGTTGCCTCGAAAAGTAGCGCAACGCTCAATGAGTCCATTGCCCGCACTCATTAGCAGCTCAAGTCTATTTCAAGTGCCATATTCCGAGCTGGTCTATTTCAACCTCACACTGCTCATAGTCATAGTATGTCATAGTCCTTCTGCGCATCTCCAACTCGTTACAAAAGCGCCCGTCCTGCATCGATCTATCTAGGATAGTCCGACAGTTGAAAGGCTCATCTATCCGGCTGTTTGAGGCAACATCGTAATAGACAGCTTGATTAACAGTTGAAGCCGTTGACATCCAGGGTGAACCTGGTCAACTGCGTCCGGAGCTATTTGTTGGCGACAGCCACACGCAGAGTCCCCGTCGCCCCGTCGCTCTGAAATATCGATGGAACAACTCTTCAACCCTTTCTGAAACTTGAAGCTCTTTGCAATCTGCTGCATTGTTGTGCTGATCCAATTGTTCCTGGTGGTTGACACTCTGACATTGGTTGTCAGTTACAAACTCAATTCCCAAGTGGAAGGAAGGCGAGAGAACCGCAAGGTGTGAAAGGTCCAAGAACTTGTAGGTGTTTCAACAAATGGTTCATGCGCATCTGCAGAATCGCAACGGCAGCTCACGAGCGGCTGAAAACGGCGGAAGGGAAAAGGTTCAGGGGAAGTATCCTGGAACCACCATGGAAGCAAACAAGAGAGATTGGAACAGCGTGGGCAAAAGTTCAAAATAGTCGCAGGTACGCCAGACTGATCACTCCTGCCCCCTGCGACTTTGGACACACACAGAACGCTGATATCGGCGCTCTGGAGGAACTTACTAATCACCTAAAAAGCCTTAGAAAGAAAGAAAAGAAAGACAGAAAGGAAAACGCAAAGGGAAGAGAGAAAGATAGGTGTAGTGACAAGGCCCACTAGTTACGAAACCTGCTAGTTACTGACTACTTAGCCGCGTGAATTAAATGCACTAGTTAGCGAGCGGGACATACGTCTTAAACCGCCCGGGTAGCTAGGAGTAGAAAAGGAGAAACAGAAGGAAAGGTACCGGCACACAAGTGTGTCGAGTACCGTTTCCTTCTATTACCCTAGATAGCGGATGTGGACATTCCGTGAAGCCCGGCAGCGTAAGTTGCAGGGAATACAATGGTGAAGCCAAATCAGTTAAGAGAATCCAAAGTACTGAGGAGACGGTGGAATCAGTTAAAACGGCGCCTCCTTGCGGAGGATCACACCCAGCACCCAAGTGGGACGACTGAGCGAGTCACACTCTGACATTGGTTTTCAGTTACCTCAATTCCCAAGTGGAAGGAAGGCGAGAGAACCGCAAGGTGTGAAA